CATCAGTAATTGGAACTGATGCTTCGCTACCATACTACCATAACGACCGACGGTATGAAGAAAAATAAGGGGGAGGGAAGGGGGACCTATCGGTAAACCCTAATGCCATAAGCAAACAATCAGGGTCAAGGTGTCTACACCTTGTCAACAGCATGCATCGCAAACAGCTGGTTATGGTGCAAAGATAAGGCAGCAACAAGACAGCTTCCCCGCGGCTTACACTGCCCTGCGTCATAATCAGCCATTACCTCGCAGATAACTCAGCACCCAACACGCTTTAAACAGGCAGTCTGACTAAAAGACAACAGCAGACACGTGACTGATGTCGACTGCAAGTCATGCCCTGTAAAGTCTCGAGCCAAGCACAAGGCGTGCTACGTGGACTCCAGCCTAGAAGGCGGGATGGAGCAACGGCACTCAGCTTGGTCGTCGGTGGCTTCATTTCAACCTCGAGCTTTGCTCCACCCTACATCTGGCTAACAAAACAACGCCCTCCTCGGTAAGTGGTGACGGGAATACGTAGTATGTGCAAAGTCAAAGCAACTTGATCTGTGCTATCTGTTTTTCTAAGGAACTCGCTTGGTTATCACAGCACAGTACTCGCCCACGCACATCATCGTTGCGAACCCGTTGGTGCCACATGACACCAGCTATGCTTCGCGGACAGCGAGCATCGAACGTTTGAAGGCGCCTCAGACCTATAGACCGAAGGGGCCAAGCTCATTCCCATAAAGTAAGATTGCCCTCACTGTAGCCATAAAAACCTGGCCTTTCGAATGGAGGAAAACCCCTTTTTGTTGCCAGATGTCGCAGATTCAAGGAGGCAGTTTTGGTTTTCGCAATACGTGAACTGACTTCAGCTGCTAATACAGCTGCCTAGGTTAGTGAATTGATAAACTGCCTCGAGTTACTCGCCATCAAGGATCAAGGGGTTATCAAGCGGCTGGTAGTGCTGCAAAAACACCTTACAATTTTAAGATGCAAAGCGTATGCCAAATCATGGGATCACTCTGGGTTAATTACGCAGGCCCAACGCCGTTAAGCAACAAGACAATAACTTCCACAAAATCTAGATCAACTAAGCTTTCGCCAGACAGCACATACAGACCTGCATCGTGAGATACCGAAAGGGAACACTCCATGATATAATGCACGAAGAAAATGAACATAAAAGGGGAAATCGAACAACCCTGACGAACATGACTTGTCCGAAAGCCATCCGATAAGTCACCGCAGAACCCGACCCGGTCTGTAGTGTTCGAGCACGCAAAACGTTCGTATATTTCATGGGAACACCTTCTCGCACAAGCATTTCGAAAAGAACAGATTGATCGACTCAGTCGAACGCATTCTTTAAATCGAGGAACACAGCTATTGTCGATCTGCGGTATGTGTGGCGCTTCTGTAGGAGCTGCCGCAAACGGAATATACAGTCTATACAGCCCCATTCCGGGTGGAAATGTGCCTGCTCTTCCCAACTCCGGGATTCCCGTTCCGCAATGAGGCGATGAACGAGAATCGACGCTAGTAATTTTAACTCAACGGGCATTAGACTAATACTCCTGTGGTTATTATTTTCAGTACAGTCGATTCACTCCAGTTAGCCGGGATGGTTTTCCTTTCAGACATGATCGAACGGAGGTCAGTGCTTTGCAGAGGACCTCAATTCCATCCTTAACAATGCATGTGGGAGAGAAGTTGGGTCAAAAGCACGAAAACGATGAGGACTGTGTTCGCATTTCGGACCTCAGCCTCCGATGAAAACTCTAAACCGTTCATGGCTCATCCTGCATCACCTCAGTGGAAAGGGGTCGGGAACCAGGGGACCAACTGAACTAACCTCGAAAGTGCTCCGCCCAACGAGCCATAAGGTGCTCCTTGTTGTGAAGAATGGCGTTCATGCTGTCTCTGATTGCCTCACTAAAGCCCGTTTTCTGGGACCAATGGTGTGGATCAGCTGGAAGAGGTTACACTAACTGCCCCCTGCTCCGGCCTCCTCCATTGCTTGAGTCCGACTAGCCCAACAGGCTTCCTTGTCAGCACGCAGGCTCCGCTTCAGTTCGCGCCTAGTAGTCCTTCTGGTCACATTGTACTAAGAGCCATCCAGGAGGTTTCTTCTGAATTACAACAGATTCACCGACCTCGCGGATATCCAGTGACTGGTGCGGACGACTGACAGTAACACAAGCAGAGGCCCCTGCGTCGTGCATGGCGGCTGATACCCAATTCTACTGAAGCTCAGTGTCATTACGTTGTGATTTCCGCTGAGCGTACCGATAACCTGGTGCTACCGCACAAGCTGACCGCCCGACTTCCAGATTAGAAGACAGAGGCCTCAGGTGAAAAATATATTGCGCACCCGACATGTAGTATATAAGCAAATCAGGTTATGGGATCCGATCAGTAGTTAATAAGGGAATGGCCGAGTGCTCACTGGTAGGCTTCAAGGAAGACCGTCCCCAGGGGTACCGTTCAAGGTGGAGCGTTATCCTTAGCCCGCTCTCACACCGGTGCCTTCGTAATTTAGCTCACATTTGGTGGGAACACCGCGTGAGCAACGAGCGTGTTCGACGCCTTGTTTATGGCACAGGAAAAGGAACTGAACCGCTCAGCACCGTTATTTCACGCATCAGGCCCCGATGGCTCGGCCACGTGTTACGCATGCCAGCCCACCGACTTCCGCGACGTGTGTTGTTTGCGCGCCGGGGGTGTGGATGGAAGAAGAGGAGGGGTGGCCAAGCGATGACTTGGTCGAGAGGAATGAAGACCCTCACTTCTGAGCTGGCCTTGGTGGGAGCGTCTCGGCTCCCTGGTTGGGGTCCGAAAGACGATGAACACGTTTGGTTGGACATACTTGCTGATATAGCTATGAGCCGACCTCAGTGGCGTTCGTGCTGTGAGTTTCTTTGTCCCACCCCATCCCTATTAGCCTCCCCCTCCAACCACGATCTCATTATTTAACCTTATATAATTTTGCATAATAATTTTT